CAGCGGGAGGCGCAGCAGGTAGGCGTGCAGCATCATGCGGTAGGGGGCGCTGTCGGCGCGCAGGCTGTAGGTGAAGTCGCCCACAATGGGGTGACCGACGGCGCTGCAGTGGACCCTGAGCTGGTGTGTCCGGCCTGCAGGGGAACCACACACTGAGAAAGGGGGAACAACGGGGGCTCCGAGGCACAGGGCGCCCATCCTGTCCCTGTGACACAGCATGGAGGCCTGTAACCGAGGACGGAACAGGGACACAAGCGTCACAGGCACAGTCCCGCAACCAGCACGGCAGCCTCTAGCTTTTGAAATGCGGCCATACAGTTTCAGTTAATACGGACAACGACATTCCTTGCATAGTGGTCAAAGACAAGAATTGCGCAGCATGTCACTGAAACTCCCAGAGTATACACAGAGTCACCAGCCACCTCACCAGTCTCAACTATAACAGCGTCAGAACTGGGGAGAGTACCAGGCACCAAGCACATCTTGCCTAAATTGTCTGAAATATTATGGTCCTGAATAACATTGAGCTGTTTGTGAATTAAGAGCGTTCACTGACTACACTAGTACTGTAAGATAGAAACCTTGTCTCCACTTCAGTGGGTTCCCAGAAGTTGTTCTCCAAATCATATGTATGTTTTCACTTTGTGGGCCTGAATTCAGTGTGTCATTTTCCAGACTCCTTCCTAAGAAAGGAAGAAGGGTTACGAACGTCTAGCAGGTTCTGGTGCTTGTAGCTTTATGATCATACAATCCCATACTCCCATTAGCACAATATGAAGGATCATATGGATTGGGCTTTAAAAAAGCATTGCCAAGGAGCTTGATTCAGGACCCCAAGACCCTGTATATGTGGGTTAAATGACTGGCTACAGCTTGCCGAAGGATGGGTTAAAAACCTGGAGCTGTTCGTGTTCTGGAGGGGTGTCGTACCTGTGAGGGGCTGCAGCAGGACCTTGGTGACTGGGTCTCCATCGTACAAGCCATACTCCAGAACTGTCAGCTCTGTCTTGCTGGGCTTGGGGTTCTCGCAGCCTGGAGGAGGGACAGCACAAGGGAATGAGAAGGGGTACAAACGAGAGAAGGTCACCTGGTGCTTTGTAGCTAATTCATCTGAGGATCTTTTCCAGAGCGGTCAGGTTATCAGCATCAGCAACACAGCTGGGCAGCTTGCTCCCTGCTCCCACACCCATTTGTGTAAAGACATGCCTCCTGTTCTCAGTTCAAAAAATGCTCTTCCCTTTAGGGGCCACTTGTGTCATGAGTTCAAGCGTCACGGTCGGTTCTAAAGAAGCCCATGGGGCTGATGTTGTCGCTGCCTTTGAGGATTTTGAATAACTGAATCGTGTCCCCCTCAGTCTCCTCTTTGCATGACTAAAACATTCAATTCTTTTACGTGAGGGTGAGATGGTCTAGGCTGGTGACACAGGCAATTGTGGCGTCACCCAGTTCCCCATACTGTAACCCCCAATATCAGAGCCCATCAGTTAGCAGAAATGATTTGTGTCGACAAGTAACAGCCCCTGTCTAACAGACCCTGAGATGAAGACTAGTGCTGCTGCCCACACTACAGATCCTGATGCACTGCTGCATAACTCTACAAAACTGGGCCCCATGTCACAAATGTTACAAACCACTGCCACACACAGTCACATGCTCATCTGAATCCTTGTGGGCAAACTGAGAAAATGAAAGCTGCTACCCTGTTCCTTTCTCCAAGAATTGTGGTGCAGGTAAGCATTTCATTGTACGGGGGTACGTATGACATTAAACTTAAACTAATGGTATTTAATCAATGATAAGGCCGGCTGTCAGACAATAAAGACAGCAAGGTGGTCTCTCTCACCCTCTGTGCTCTCTGTGCACATCATGTGAGTCTTCCCTTCACACGTGTTTCTGCCGATGGCAAAATCCAGGGTCATCTGGCTGCTCTCCACGTAACCCCGCACCTGGGGGACAGCAAGAAGAGAGACGAGCTGAAGTGGTGAGAGCACACACAAACACACAAACACACAAACACACAAACACACAAACACACAAACACACAAACACAGCGCGGGTTCGGAATCTCTCTCTCTCGGTGTACCAGGGCCAGGTAGGCCTTAGTGACCAGGCGCTCCTTGAAGCAACGATACGCCTTCCCCGCCGCCGGCCGGTTCAGAGCCACGCACAGCGCCCCGCTGGTGGAGAAGTCCAGCTGGTGACAGAACCTGAAAGCAGAGGAGCAGATCACACGCACGGCGGTCACGCGTGTCGCCACACTCCCCAGAGCGGGAGCAGCACACCACCGCACTGCAGCAGTGCCCTGCCCCTGCCCTGCCCCTGCTGTTGCCACTGCAGTGCGGATGAGAGCCGGTCCCAGAAGTGGGATTGCGTTACAGAATCACTGCAGTGCTACAGCAGGCACTCCAGAGACAGTCCCACGCCCTCCGTCTGCCTCGCTCTCCTGCCCTCCTCTCGTGTGTCGCCTCTGTCTCGGTGCCTGTGTCAGGCGCTGCACGAGAGGGGGCAGTGACCACAGCCTGGCCATAGAAACTGGACACAGGCTGACTGGCTGTCCAGAGAGGACAGGCTCAGTGACCACAGCCTGGCCATAGAAACTGG